TATATATATATATATATATATATAGTGCCCTGGTCAAGAGGGCACTCCTGCTGAAATCTAATCTAGCCCGTGGTTCTCTGGCAAGCCCATGTACCCACCTTCCCTGAAGATGGGGAACCTTGTTATGCTCCTGAAGCTGCCACCTACTTGTCAAGCCCTGTGCCTGTGGGACTGTGCCAAACCAGGAGGAGCTTGTAGCTCTAATTCCCTTAGAGGGAGCATGGCATGGATCATATCAGTCTTATGAAAGCTCTTCAGTGACTTCCTATCTCACAGTAAAGTCCAGTCCTTACTGTGTATGTTCCTCATCACATGGCCACTGGTGACCTTCCTGTTTTTCATGTCAGTCTAGTCACACTGGCCTGCTGGCTGTTCCCTGAACATACTAGAAGTGTTCCCAGCTCATCCCAAATGACTCGCCCTAGATTCCCTCATGGCCTCCTTGACTTCTTCAGTTCTTTGTTTTTACATGCCTCCTTTTCGGTGACCTTCTGACACCCTCTATCTCTCTTACCCTTTATTGTCATACATACAATTTATCATCGCTGAAATATCTTAACATTTACTTGTATGTTTTTTATTGTCTGTCTCCCTCATAATGTGAGCCCCATGAAGACAGACAAATTTATCCGTTTCATTCACAGCTGTTTCCCCAGCTCCTGGAACATGGGTACAGTACCTGGCACATAGTAGGTGAATGAATAGCCATATATTAGTTACTTGGTATCTCTGAGCCTCAGTTTCTCTAGCTGTATAATGGGAATAATGTGTATTTGGGAAGGATAGCCAGTATTTTGTGTGTTTCTGAAGATTAATACTAATGTATATCAAGCACCTAAAAGAGCATCTCAAGAACGTACCTGCCACGTACTCATAGATGTGTGTATACGTTACTACGACTGCCACTACCAGTAATACTACCCACCTGCCGCTGCCGCTGCCGCCGTTATTACTACTACTATCATCATTACTATTACTACCCCTACCGCTACTGATACCAGTGCTGCTACTGCCACCATTACCACTACCCCTGTGACTGTCGTTGCTGCCACGACTACTCCCCCATCTCTTGTACCTACAGTGCACAGTCTACTCTTTGTAGTCTGTGTAGATAACTCTTTGAATTCTGCGACGGAAGCAACTTCGTTGACCCAGTTTTCCTGAAATAAAGGTCGCTGCTCCCTGAATAAATGCTTGTGTAGAATCGTGCATCCTATTTATTTGTGGATCAGCTTATAAGACACAGTGAGGTTTGTTCTATGGGTCTCCACATTGGCCAGCATGGAGCTTACGTGTGGAAATCATTTCATAGTTGTTTGTTGAGTTGAACAGCACAGACTTAAGTTTGGTCTCCAGGATGATTCTAAGAACTAAGAGTTTGAAATGCACACCTGTGTCTGTTGTGTTTCATTAGATAATTTCTGCTGCTGAAACATTGACATTGCATCCGTCTAGTAAAATTGCTAAAGAAAACCTAGATGTCTTTTGTGAAGCTTGGGAATCCCAGATTAGTGACATATCAACACTGCTAAGAGAAATCAATGATGTTTTCGAAGGAAGACGAGGTGAGAAACTATCCACATATTTAAACACGTTATTATTGTAATTAATTCTATTAGTTTTTTAATGTCAAACCTCAGTTACAAGATGAATTATCTTGTTATCACCCAATGGGTTACTTTTATAGTAACATATCTCCCACAGAAAAATTGGGACGGTGTTGTCTGTCCTTTATTATAGCATCTAAGCAGTATAATTTATTGTACAACAGTGTTGTAGATTTCATTGAAATGTTAATATTCTAGTTTTCTGATTGAAATCCAGTCATTTAATATTTTATCTAAATTGTTTTTTAGTTTTAGTATAAAAGCTCTTCTGTAATACAATTATTCTCTGATTTAATTCTACTAACTTCATAATGAAATGAATGTAGTTATTTGATTTTTGAATTGCTTTCCTTCCACTTGGATGGAATCTCTTTCTCTGATGACTGCATAATCTTGGAATATTTCCTGTGGTGGGTAAGTTCATTGGTATTTCTACAACATGTAGAATAGCACTGCACAATGTATAGGAAGGCATCCTCTTTATTTTAATATCAACTGGGAGTTTTGTTTCTTTCCCATTGTATGGTGTATCCTCTTATGTTTATGTCTTGTCATGTACTTTTTTCCCTTTGAATGGCTTCTGTTAGTGTCAAGCATGCTTGTTTTTTTTTTTTTTT